TGTCAACTGAACAGCAATGACTGTCATGGACATGTTGCAAAGTGGCTGTAGTCGTGGCTCTCTCCCCTCCGCTCTGCTTTCGTAGGGTGCATGCATTCAGGCGGATGCCTTCAATTGTTGCCCCCCCTGTATGCATTGTTCGTAGGTGGGGAGGGCCTGGTGAGTTGGGGTCTGTTGGGGTGGTTTGCTCTGCTGTTTGGTGCAAGGTTGTCCTGGATGCCAAGCTGTCTTCCTGTGGCCCATGGGACGTCGAATCTCTCGACGAATGTTTGTGTGAGTTCGTGCCACTGCTTTCTGTTTTGTGCCACCTCCCCCCACTGGGTGCCTGCGACGCTCTCCCACATCGCCCTCCGGATTGAAGCGGGTTGCATGGTTGACTCGACGGCTTCGAGGCTTGCGCTGCTCCCCTCGCCAGAAGTCGAGGTTCTTCCACTGCACCATGGCATTGACCTCCGTGCCCCCCCGGGCCAGGTGGCCCCACAACGACCAGATGCGTTCCAGGATGAAGGTGGACCACCGCTTCCACCCCCCCTGTTGCAATCGGACTCGTGTTGTCCGTAGGGTGCGGATCTGCCAATCTGCCCAGGATTCTGTGGCTCTCCGATTTAGGTGGAGCATGGCGCGGAGGTGTTGTGCTTGTAAGGAGTTCGCTGCTTTGAGTAGGCGGCTGTGCACCGGCCACGTCTCAGCTGCGTACAGTGCTGCCCCCCGCACGAGGGAAGTGTATGCGATGACACGGCTGCCCAAGCTGGTGCGCGCGAGCAAGATGTGCTTATGCTTGGCGAAGGCTCCCCGGCTGCGTCTGCACATTTCTGCGACTAGCGCTGCTGTCTGCTCTCCGAAAGTGATCGGTGAGCCCAGTGTAGTGATTGTGGTCTTGTGTGGTGAGCACTGCACTGTAGTCCCCCCGATCGTGAACTCACCTCCCCCTGTGGGCTGGCTGTACAGAATCGCTGTTTTGGTAGGGTGGATGCTGAGGCCGTCCTCCTCGAGCTCTTGTTCGAGGTTTGTGAGCAGTCGTTGTAGGTGGCTGTGGCTCTGGCTCCAGAGGTATGTATCGTCGAGGAAGCTTCCCCCTGCTCTTGGGGGGGGGGGTCCCCCCTGCGGGTCGTGCCCTTGTGGAGGTGTGGCGTCGATGGCTGTCTGCAGGTCACGCGCGACGATGGCACCGAAGAGGTCTGGAGAGTCGGGGCTGCCTTGGCGGATCCCATTGGTTTGGGGAACTGTGGTGGTGGTATATCCCCCACCACTACGCTGAGGGCTCGTGTCTCAAGGATGCTGAGCCAGAGCATGGCTTCCCATGGTTTCCCCCCTCCGGCGGGTGGTACGGGGCATCGCGGAGAAGCCACCCGCAACGAGCTCGCTCATACTATGCTGCCAGACACTGTCGAATGCCTTTCGTATGTCCAATTTGACCAGCCATGTGCCCACCCCCCAGTCTCGTGACATTTGTGTCACACGCCGTATGGTAGCGATTAGTTCCACCCCCTGCCCACTGCAATGTGGCCCCTCCTCGCACTTGCTCCCCCCCTCGGCCAAGGAGTAGTTGTGCTGCCCACTTCAGCAACGTTGAGCTGAGCGTAATGGGTCTGGTATCCGTCCAAGAGAGGGGGGTGGGGATTTTGGGTAGTAGCACTGTTATCCCCTTTTCGATCCCCCCCGGGATTTTGGCCGTGTACAGCATGTCTGTGAGGAGGTACGCCAGTCGGTCCCCCCACGCTGGGTCAGCAATGAGCACCTTCGCCGCCTCGTGGGAGATGCCGTCGGGCCCTGTGCTCTTGTTGTTGCTCCATGTGGTCGTGACGGCCGCCAGTTCGTCTCTGGTGAAGGGTTGGAAGGGTGTGTCCTTACACAGGCGCCGAAGCTGAGCTCGAAGTGCCTCTACCCGGTTGTGGTTTGGCGAAGATGGATCGCATGTGCTCTTGCAGGTGTTCTTGCCATTGGGTGTCGTCTTGGAGGGTGAGCTGCCAGCCCTTGTGGGACTGGCATCTTTGAAGGCTTTTCCATGCTTTCCAGTCGAGGTTGGCGGCACGTTCGGCCTGCTGCTTCTTCCATTGCCGTTGCTCTTGTTTGTGTTGCCTTGCCACTGCCTTCCATGCTTGCCTCGCTTGGGGGCCAGGCGTGCTGTGGTGGGCTGTATGTCGGAGTTGTAGGAGGTGCTTGCTCTCCCGGAAGTGGGTGTGGCTCCCCCCCCGTATGGTAATGGCTTTCGCGATTGTGGCTATGGTCTGGTGAGGGTCCTCCCCCCTCGGCGTCGGGACAGTGAGGAGTCGGCTGACCTGGTGTTCAGGTCGGAGCTTCCTGGGCCCCCATGTGGTCTTGCTGGGGGTGTTGTGCGCTTGGGGCACGACGGGGGCGGCGATCCCATCGTGATCCGAGAAAGCCCGATCTCGGATGGGGAGGACCATTCCCTCTCCTGTTGAGATGCCTTTGGTGAGTAGGTAGTCGAGTCTTCTGGGATGCATCTGCTGGTTGTAGGGGTGGTAGCTAGGGACATGGAGCTGTTGCGGTGGCAGTCGCAAGCCGTGTTGGCTAGCCCATTGCAAGATTGTTTCCCCCCTGCCGGTATGCGATTGTGCTTCGGTTGCAAACGGGTGTGTGGTGGTGAAGCTTTCATTGGCATCTATGCCGATGAGCCAGCGGTCTCTGCCTGTCAGTGTGTTCCCCCATGCGTGGAGGATGTCTCCGGTTTGGGGGATGGTGGCGTGGTGGGGGAGGTGGGCTGCCAGTGTTCTGATTGTAGTAGTCGTGCTTTGTTGCTTGAGTGTGGTAGTAACCCCCCCGCGGGTCACGACACTGTGGTGGTGTCGGAATTGTTTCCTATGCGCCACCCCCTCTCCCCGAAACTCGCCCTCACACTTGCCGTACACGAGTTGCCAAACATCTGATTCTGCATGAAACAGGCCCGCCTCCGCAATGATTTCTTGCACAAGGGCGATGCCGATACAGTCCAGTTCGGGGCTTTGCTGGAAGTTGTCCAAGAGCTCCAGCAGCTTGTCGGCTGAAAGCCCCCCGACATTCCAGGTCAGGGCCCATATGATGGCGCCGGTATTTTGGCCCCCCCCGGCTGGGGGGTGAAACTGCCCACTAGCTTGTTCTTCTCAGTTGATCTCCGCCTTCAGCGGAGACCAAGCCGTAGAAATGGCATCGTGGCTGAGCTTGGTGGCCTTTGCTATCTCCCCCAGGTTCACCCAGCCTGGTCCAGCTTCTTCGGCGCCCCCAGGTCGCGGAGCCGTGGCGGAGCTGACTTTGACGCTGTTAATCCACGCCGTGCCCGTACTGAACTCCATCTGTAGGGCGTTCTTATCCCCCCCTGCTGAGAGATACAGTCTCTTCACCTTCGCAGCGAGTCTGGCGCGGCGGCGTCGATCCGGAGGTTGGGAAATGGCAATCCAAACTTTGCGTGGGGCTCCGTCTGCTCGGCTGCCTAGTTGAATGTTCGCCCCCCTGACCTTGGAGATAACCTCTTGAATCCTCTGACGTCGCTGTTCAAAGCCTTCCCCAGGTTGCTCGTCGATCGGGAGGATAGCGTATCCCCTCCGAACTCCTGGAACGAAAAGCGAAGAGGAATCGATAGGGGCTTCCACTGACTTGAGGACGTCGATCACGGCGTTCTTGGTGTCGCTAGCAGGTTGATCTGGGTCCCATCCCCCGACCACCAAGGCCGGCTTTCTCCCCACTTCCGATGGGGCAGTGGTGCTTCCGGCCGAGGATCCCCCCCCTTTCTCCAGGCGTTCGAGGCGAGCTTGGACTTCTTTGTTGGCTTCCTGCAGCTGTTGTAGTATACCCCCCTGCGCGGTGTACTTGGTGGTCATGTCGTCTAGCAAGTTGATGGTCTGCTGCATCTTCTTGGTGACCTGGTTTTCCACGTTGTCCACCCTGGCCGCGAAGCCTCGGATGTCCTGCTTCACTTCTGAAAGGGCATCTTTGAGTTCGCCCCGGATAGCTTCACGGATAACGTCCAGGTGGGATGCGAGGTTTTCCCCCTGGTCTGCTGCTCGCCGCTTGACGGGCGAGTCGCCCGCCTGATCCACCGGCATGTCGTTACTGCCATGCGCGTTTGCCATGGTGTCTGCCCTTGCTAGGAAGAATGCCACTTCGCCAGTCCGCAAGTAGTGCTGCAGTCAGGTAGTAGGTGCTGTCCCCCACCCAAGGCGATCTTGCGGCGGATCGACGTGTAATGCCGCTCCCCCTGTAGGGTCGCCGAGCCCGTAGAGCTCGCTGATGTGCAAGTCCCGAAGGAGCAGGGCACGGATGCCGTACTGGAGCGTTCCCCCCGATCTCGCCTTCGGAAGCGGCGATGGAGAAGTCGCAAAGGGCAGCACGGATGTAGATGAGGTCGCAAGTATGCAGGCGAGGAGACACGTTCTCTCCCCCTCACTCTCCCTGGTTGAGACCTTCCTCTTCTGTCCGTCGGGGCTCAGGCCTTGAACCACTCACGGCTCTCCCCCTCTCTCTCTCTCTCTCTCCCTCCCTTCCGGGCATGAGGGCGGGTAAGCGCCCCCCGGCATCATGCCCACCCGTCGTCTCTCTCTCTTGCTTGCAATCGGACAAAGGAGCACACCTCCCCGCGCCCGAAGGCGCACCGGTCTCATGGTCTGTGTGACACAGTCAGAGCACTGAGGATCGGCCCGGCACTGGAAAACCCCCTTTACACCCTTTACTCATGCCACGTAACCCCCGGCCTCTGGCCTCCTCCTCCCCCGTTTTTCGGGGTTGCTGTGTGGGTCTCCGTGCGTCCACCAGCGTTTGTAGGCTGTGCTGTCCCGAAACTGCAACACCACAACACTCTATGACAACGTCAGACTCTCTCTCTCTCTCTCTCTCTCTCTCTCTCTATCTCTTGCTTGCTTGCTTGCTTGCAGGGCGTCTGGGAGGTGAGGCACAGGTCCTCTATCTCTCTCTCTCTCTCTTGACGGCCAGATTGCAGGCTCAACTCACTTCCCAAGAGAGCGCAGCATGGTGCAACTGGTTTGCGTCTCCACGACAAAGCACCGTGCCTGCACGTCCTTGCTCGACATGCTGGCTGCCGCTATCGGCGGTTATCGGACATGTACACTGTCAGCTCGCAACTTTATGTTGGCAAAGGCTGCTACGTGAAGGAGTTAACAATTACATCTTGCAGGCTCGAGATCACTTCAGTCCATGCATCGGTGTGGCTAGGGCGGCTGGGCCTCAGTGAGTGGATGTAGTGTAAAGCAGGCATGCTGTCAATCCAACTACGGTGGGACACCTATCCCAAAACACGCTGCATGAACCTCCGATCGTGGACTTCCATTGTTTGAACCCGTTGCCGACAGACATGCCGGCTGACAAACCCGCACAGCGCATGGACCTTGCAAAGTCGGTGCCCGGACCTGGACGACTGCGAATCTCTCGATGACAACTGAGTCCGGTGTGTCTCCATTCCTGTTCGGGATAGGAGCCCACAGTGCAGTGCAGTCGCACAGCAACACAATCCGTCCTGTAAATGGTTTCCGGCAGTTCCTCGGCAGTGCAGCTGGGGCTGAAGGCAAAGCCAGGCGGCGCCTGATGTCCAGCGTCCACGTGCGCAAGATATCTCGACTAGTCTCGACAACGCTGATGGTCTGAATATCTCACGTCAACAAAGCAAGCCGATTGCCACTATGACGGGCCTCAACCTCAACTGTGGCATCGTTGAGCGTCTGTCCCGCAGTGAAGAACCTCGGCTTGAACACGAATCTGCGAATATTCCAACACACGGCCAGCTCCCAATGGTGCATGCCCTGGCTTGTGTCTCGCGGACCCCTCGCAGCTCTTCTTTCGTTAAACTAGAAGCTTTGGAAAGCTAGCTAGCTATCCAGAAGGCGACTCTCCAGAGTGTCATGGAAACAGTTCGCGCCGGCATTTCACGATGCGGCCGTTTTCGCAACGAGGGAGCACTGAGAGGAACACTGCATGGAAGAGCAACGATGCACCGTATTCCCTTATGCCTGTCAGCACATCGACCGCCAAGCAGATGCTAGTGCAGATTGCCCCTGTTCATCTGACTTTGAGCTGAGCAGCACTTGAAGCAAATGTGTTTCGCCGACAAGCACACTCCCGGGTAACACCTGCCAGCACGGAAAGGCAAGCCACGTCCGAGGTTCAAACGCACTTCAAGTAATCGGCCTGGGCGAAGGGCAGTGTCCCTGTGCTGAGAGATCGCTGCTGTGCTTCGACCACCTCTGCAGGGCTCAAAATCACACTGACCATCTCTTACAGCTATTGACCGTCTCTGGACTAAGCCATGCTGCCCATGTTTGGGGGAGTTGTCCCTTCACGAAATCCACCGTGTGGTGTGGTGGCCAAGTCTACTGAGTAGAGTCTACTGGCGATGAGAGGCACGGAGGGGTACCTGGCTTCAACAGCCGGTGCAACTGAAGCGAGAAATGCCACATCTGGCTTGGCAGGTATGACTCCGGGTCATCACGCCATGGCTAACCCTGATTCAATCCGCGAATGCAAGAAGCTATCAACCTGCAACCAGGAGGCCGAAAGACCTGAAAAAGGGCGACTCCAAATTGGAGCATCACCCTGGCACCTTAAGGCCTTAAGGCACTCGCTTCAGTCCTTTAGCAGAGGAAGACCCTGCTCGCAACCATGAGGCCTTAACATATGCACAAAGAAGAAGTGTCAGCAGCCGGACCATGGCAACTGCCCGCACTGGCAGGTCAGCATCGCAGCCGAAAGGTTGTTAATCACAAGGAACACCTACCTCCGAATCTGGATCTCGCACACTGACATCGCTGACACATCAGCAGCTCCTGTCGGTGCTATCGTCACTCGGGCATGCCGAATAACCCTGTTCGTGCAAGTGCCACAACAACGCTGTCTGCTGTTTCCCTGCATGATCTTCTATAATGAACCTCAGAAAAGCTGCCGTCGCTCACAACCTTGCAAGCTGTCAGCAGCCGGATAAGAGACATTCCGGAGCTCCCTCTTTTTGACGGCAAGTGCGACAAGATCCTCACAAGCGCACGAACAGCAAAGAGAAGGTCAGGAGGCAGCCGGTCTCAGAGAAGCTGTCTTCGTCTTTCTTGGACGGCTGGAACTAGAGACCAGTTTCCGCTTGGTCCTCCTCCTCCTGCCGGCAACGAGGTCAGAGGGTAAAAAGATGCAAAACAAGAAGTCTTGAGATGGAGGAGAATCCATGCCTCGGGCCTCGATGCGTCTTCAAGGAGCCACCAGCCGAACAATGAGTATCGAGCACGGGCGCCATGTACGGCTTCCACACTATGGAGTCGCGGAACTTCGAAGACCACAAGCGTATTGAATTCTGGCACGTGGTGAGAAGGCATGCCTCGCAGAATGAGTCTCCCACCAATGCACAGTGAGAAACGAACTCAGCAAGTGACTTGTGGCCCGAGCAGCTCGGGTTCGAGAGATCTGTAAACCGGCCGCCGAAGGATGGCTCCCAGTCCTCGTTAATGCGATGATGCCTTGACGGGTGAAGCACTCTTTCTCTCACCAGTCCTTGTTCAAGTAGTAAGCAGCTGCCACCCATCGCCGATATGGCACCGATTCTGAAGCCTTCGCTCCTGCTGCCACTGCTTGACGAACTGCCGCCAGGTCTTCACTTTGCAAGGCTGCCTGCATTGCTGCATGCACGCACACGACACATCATCGAAGCCTTCGTCCCACTGCGAGGCCTCCAACTGTGAGGCATGTTGCCTATCGGAATCTTTCCAGTTCTTCCACGCTTCAACTGCGCTTTGCAAACTGCGGTCTCCGAAGGCCTGTCGCACCTCACGGAAAGCTGCAGTTATCAACGGCAGTGCTATGCAGAAACCAGGCACTGATGCAGCCTTGCCTGGCTGACCTCCTCAGTAGTGTAAGCTTCAGGGACAAGATCATCATGTGCAGCAATGTGATCCTCGCCGTCGTAACGTGCAGCAGAGAAGTTTGGCAAAGTGTCTGGAAGAAGCCTCCCAAGATGTTTCCGCACCCCAGAGCATTCAACGTTGCTCTACGACTCTACGACTTCTGAAAGAAAAGCTGTCAACAGGGCATACGAAACTAGGGCTTTTGGCAGTCGGACCTTGTTGCAGCTGCTTCGTGCATGGAACATGTCTTATGCAGGATTTGCCCAATGGCCTTGCCAAAACGCGTGCAGCACCGAGAAGAATCTCGTCTTCTTCCACATCTGCTATCCAGAAACGGTGCTGCACACGATCTTTGTACTCCTGACGACGGGGTTTACGGCCTTGGAGGCTTGCCCCTTACAATCAATCGAGGTCGTGGTGCAGCTGTTACATGCCGGCACAGCATGAAACTAATTTGCAGGCAAGTCACGAGATCGTCACAGCCACCCTCGCCAGCTCGTTCCCAGCTACGCAGGCCGCGCAAGGACGTGCAAACGGCCTCTGCAACATTCTCCGGCAAGAAACCACGGATTTTTGCCTGCATGTCACATCACATTGGTCTTGAAAGGACCTGCAACTCTCACTGTGGCCGAGATGCGAAACCACCACCAGATTTCAGCAATTCAGGTAGATTGCGTTCACAGCAATTCAGCCATGATCGAACAGCGGTGTCATCATCCAACCAACGAAGGGCAGCATCCATGTCATCGAAGTTGGCCAGACACCAGTTTCACAAACAGGATCCAGACTGCAGATGTTTCATGAGAACTGCGATCGGACAGTTGAGTGAACCGTATGTCGTTGCACATGTTTCCTTGGCAACAAACGGCTGCGAATTTACAGATGACTCAATTGCATGAGTGGGCACTCCACTAGACAGGTGCAAAACATGACGTTGGCTGGCCCTTTGGGATGTTTTGGCAGCATGCTTAGAGCAGATCTTTGCCTTCTGTTCAAGGTTGAATTTCATGCTCTCTGTCTTGCTATGGACAGGCACGCAGGGCATGCTTTCAAAGATGAAACTTGCCTCACACTATGTGAGCACGGATGAAACATCACTGAGAGGCTGCAATATCCTGCATGAACATGCGGCCCACTTTCCCAAGCACGCCATTTACCTTCTCCTGTTCGGAGGAAGTGAAATTGACTTGCCCATCAGTCAGCATACGTTTGCCATCCATTGCTGCTGATTTGATCGAAATCTCGTTCAGGAACCCCTCTACGGCGGCTATATCCCATGTGTAAACGCAACGCTGCTTCAAGTCAGCTGGCGGCTCATACGGCTTCTCCGCAGCACACTGGTCTTGGAAGAACTGAAAACAAGTTTTTTTCACCATGCTGTCCACCTTCTCCTGGTCCGAGGTCTTCTCGAACTTTGCACCCGACAGAATGTCCTTGCCGGTGATGTCCGGGATGCCGCCTTCGAGGTCCCACTTGCCGAGCTCTTCTTTTGTCAAAGCAGCATCCCAAAGCCAAATGGCACATTTCATGTGCGCTGGCAAAGTCTGTTTCGATTCTTCACCAGCACCAAGGGCTTTACGGAGCTTGTCGGCCGTGTCCTTGTCCAAAGCCGCCACGACGTCCTTTAGCTCCTTTTCATCCATCTTGCCTGCAGCAGCGGCCAAACCTGCGGCAGCAGAAGCACCATTTCCCATGTCTGCAAGATGCTGGAAGCTTTCCTTACTGTCGAGTCCGGCAATCGAACAACTCCAAGTAAAGCTAAATGTTGCGGAGCACAACAACAAACAACGGAGAATGCTCAATGGATCGCAATGAATGTATTTCATAAGTTCTGTGCAACTTTTTCTTCGGATCGGGCTTGGCTGACACGTTTCACAGCAAGGCAATCTCGACTCCAGACTCTCACGGCGGCATGCGCCTACCTCAGACATCTGCAAAGCGACTTCTGCAAGCGTCAGATCAGATACACTGGCGCAGGAGGCAAATTGATAAGCTAATGGCGCATCATCGTCGCCTTGCAGTCGTACATAGTGTCTATACAGTATACATCACAGACACGATGATGCTAGCAACAACGGCTGCCTGCGTCCCCGTCGTCCATGAGACTCACGAGCTTCTCATCCTGCTAAGCACATGATAACAATTGCTGGTCGCGGAAGAACTCCGACATGATCTGCTGTCAACTTCAAGCCTCCAGATCTTCCTTCGCACCGCTGCCCAGCTTAACCGGCCTTGATGTAACATGGATGGCTGCTAGAATATGCTAGAATGCTAGAAACTGTGAGACTCTGCTTTTAACTGTGGCAGCTGCGGGGCCAGGGCGAGAGACTGTGCACCTAGGCACCACATTGCTCGCGATGCTTGCTTTGGAGCGTGGCTCCAGTGCAAATTCAGCCCGGTTCCATGCGGTGCTGAAGATAACCCCTGTTTTCAGCGCTCGACCTTGCGCTTCCAACTCTGCCTCCGCTGCCGCCTTGCATGTCAGTGCACTCACCACAAACAGCACTTCAAGTCAGAAAGGTTTGGTGCACAAACTCAAATGCCAAGCCTTCTCTGCCTCCTGAGCCGCACTCTCTGCAGATGCCGCTATTGTCGGATCTGCAGCGGTGCAAGCGTGGCAGCCCATTATAGTCTCTTATCACATCCATAATCGAATCCTGCTGGTTCAGCAATAAGATGCGCATGCTCTGCAGCCCAAGCAAGCAAGGCGGCAGTCCCTTTTGATGTCTTTGCAGACACGTGACGCATCGAAACACTAATGAACACATATTCGAAACCGCTGTCTTATCTAAATGCCCCGGCAATTCCGACATGCAGCTCAAACAAACATCGAAAGCACCGGCCGCGCAAGCCTTGTGCCGCGAATGCCGCCAATGTGGCCCTGGGGTACTGCTGCAAGATGCACAAAAGGACAAAGAGCTGCACTGCTTTGCATTGAGGCGGGGACGGTGCTGTCACTGGCTTGGCAGTGCTGGAGCTGGGGCTTACTGCTGTGATGTGTACACGCGATGCAAGCGTTACGGGCGATGCAGGCGGTGCCTGAACCGCAGGCCGTGCCGATTTGGCGGGCTGTGTGTGAACAGCGGGGCTCTGGCTCTGCTGCGGATTCGGAGCACTCACTGCAGCGAGGGCGGCTGCGACGTTGTCCAAGGCTTGTGCGCTGGTGCGCGATCCTTCCTCTGTTCTTCCACGGAGCGCCCGGGATTCGGATCCATTAAGCCTGGCCTGCAGCTCCTGGATTTCACGCTTCATCTCTATCTCATTGCTTGTCAGCAACTGCACCTGCATCTAGAGCTACAAGAGCGAAAGCCGCGAAAGCTCTACAAACATTGTCCGTCTTCAAGGCTTTTTGCCCAACTTCGCAAATCAGCACACACGAGACCACACGGCCTGGCTCTCCAGCTTGCTCAACTGTTGTGAAGCAGCCTTCAAACGGGATCAGAAAGGTCCTGACCGCATATGCTCACAATCTGCCATGAACTGCCGAGCGACTTCATTTGCCTCAGCACCTGCGGCCTCAGCAAAAACGTCAAGCAGAATCGTGGTTTTGGACTCACTTTCCCGGCGCATGTGGCGACATTTCTGCATTAGCCTGGATTGAGAGCTTTTCACAGGTGGGTTGCGGGGACGAAAACCGGAAGCCTCTCCTGATTAAAGATGTCAATTCGTGTCGATGTTGACTGAAATCGCAACACCGCCGAGTGCAAGGCAGCAGCCCAGTGATGCGGGGCTGCTTGTGCAGGAGGAGAGCCTTGAGAACGACTGGCTACCGTGTGTGTTCTAATGCACTCAACCGAGATCCAAAGACAATCACGAAAAAAGCAAGCGAAACGAGGACTGCTGCAGCTGAGGACAACCCAGCCTGCAGTCCCTTTGCTGGTTGCTGCTGCGGACAACTGGGGTACCTGCACAGCATGTTGAAATCTTCCCTACGTGAGTATCTGGTCACCAAGAAGAACCCTGGTGCCTGGACGGAGTCGCCTGCTTCAACCCTGTGGCACTTGATGTTCGTGTTGAAGGTCTCCTGCTCAAATCTCCGGCAGATGTCAGTATTCGTTGTTGTGCTGCCAACGAAGCTGGAAATGCTGGACTTTCAGAGCAAGTTCTGGCCTCTGCATCAAACCCGCCCTGCTGGAAAGTGTGCAGCACTCTGCCACCATCCTGCCACGAAGCCAGACCCCGCCAGCTGCAACGATACACAAAACGTTGAAGCAGGATTCCTCAACATCCATGCAAGCAGCAGTATCGCACGGCGTGCACATGTCCAGACAGGAGTTCAGCCGACTGGAGCGTCTCAAACGAATGCTGGCCTCGTCAACACAAACGACACGGATCGCCTCAGGAATGCGACAACTCGGACACGAGACTTTTGGGAAAATGAACTCAGATGCGGGCAAATGCTGCAAAAGCTGGCTGTGCCCCACAGGCCGTGCGTACCTTTGATGATTATGTTATCCTTTGATCACTCCGTTTGCCGAAATCACCTGAGGCCCATGCAACGCAATGCGAAGCCTCCCCGACCCATGCAGATACCTGTCAGGAAAAGTTAATTTTGTGACTGACACGTCATGACATTGATTCACGGAAACGGCGCACACAATTCCCGGGTCCAAACTTCACTACGCCTCTGGAAACCTCAGATTTACGGGCAGTGTGGGACGAACAGCTGCTGTTCAAACATCGCCGGCAACCACATAATCATGAGGCGTTGGCCAGTGTTGAACTTGCCGAAACCAGCAGTTGTGCAAGGAAAGCACCAATCTGGCCAATCCAACACAGTTGCCGCACTTGCAGCTGAAACTGTCCGCATGAATTGCTCGTAACTGCCTGCAAGCATGCACAAAAAACGCACCTTCTTCATTGCTGATTCTTCTTGGTGTTCCACGCGATCCTCCAACAAAACGCGACGTGAACTTGAAATCCTGTGTGGTGATTTCAGCGTCTTTGGCATGTGAACTTACAACGATCATACAAGGAAGGCCTGCAACGGCAGGAGGCGGTGGACATCACCTTGAACAAAAAGTTGACCGGCGACTTGCCTCACATGCCTCACCCAGAACTTCCGGGTCTCCAGTGCTTGCTTTTGAACAAGGAAACTCCAAAAGGAAACAAACATGGAACAAAACACAACCAATAACCCTGGCGAAATCCTTTCGAAATCGTCATCGTGGTCAGCAAATCAGGGAACGCTAGACGAGACCCGGTCAAATTTTCGAAATACCCACTCATGTCCAAAGACTGCAATCGGTTGTCACATGATGATTGTCCGTTTGTTCATGGGCACGGCAGTTTCTAACAAATCACTTTCGACTGCCAACTGATCCGAAGACCCCGTCAGATCCCGGTAGATTTTGCCAATGATTTGTATACTTTGGAGGTGGAATAGACGTGTTTGAGAATGGCATGCAAATACTTCCCGTGCACCCCGGCCGGCACCGCATTGCTCTTAGCTCAGCATGGCTTGTTGCGTACGACAGTTGCACGGTCCAGGCCCTCAGCATCTTCTGTAGAAACGCAATTGTGCAAGCGACAGCAGGTCGTGGACGCGGCGCCCCAGCGGCTGGAAAAGAAGGAGCGGTTGCTTTTGCATTCCGCAGAGCCGTTCATGTTGTATTTTAAACAGAGTTGGGCCTGCGGCGGGAAGTTGGAAAGCCCTACCGGCATTGCATTGACAGCGGCGGAAGTCTTCCCTGCAGCCAATCAGTTGAGAAGCCACGCTCTCGATGGGCCAGCACTGTTCTGTCACTTCGGAATTATTCTCAACCGTGTGGGATCTGTGTGCGATGCGGCTCGTCAGAAAAGGTCGAACCCATCATAGCAATCGGCATCGGCAAAATTCTCTCTCACAGGCTTCGTGAATGAACGTGAAGCGAATTGGTGTAATCCACAAAGACCACCCTTACGCAACCGTTCCTGCGGTAGAGCAAACGGTCCCGCTTGAACCCTAAAGTCCTGAACCCTGCAGTCATAAAGCCTTGAACCGTAAATAAAGCTCTAAACTTAAACTCTGAACCCTAAAAGCCGTAAGCCCTATGCTGGGATACTGTTGGACAGAAAACACCAGCCTCTTAACAGCACAGAAACAAGTAGCCTCGCAAACAAATGGCCGCTCCGGTGGATGCTTATCTCTTCTCGGAACAGAAGATAAAAAGGTAACCGCATTCTGACACCTCTGTTGTTCGGATCAAATTACCGCCTTCTACGGTTAAATGTCGACACAATGTCGGCATTCTTCGGGTTCCATACGGTTTGCATTTCTGTCGATAAACATCTGGCCGCTTTCGCTGCATCAAAAAAAAAATTTCTAAGTCGAAAGACGGGCTTTACGGTGAAATCCGGATTTCACGAGAAGAATGCTCATAAGTAGTGGCCGCTGATACCCCTGTAAAGTTTAATCCCTAAACCCTTAAACCCGAAAAGTGCTGCTGTAGTCCTGGCATGATTGAAACTAGCACAATGCTGGCACCCCTCGAAATGTCCTTACTTAACTTTCAATTGTGGGCCTGAAACATTCCGGTTGGGGCCGGAAGTTTTACATTAGGACGACGGTTTTCCCGAAAGCATCGCGAAGGGTTCTTCCGTGCGGAGCCCCGCAGATGAGTACATAGATGACTACATAGATGACAGACATAGAATCAACTTACTTGACTCTATACCTTACTTGACTCTACACTTGATACTTGACTCTAGATGACTACATAGATGACAGACAAAGAATCAAGTTACTTGACTCTATACCTTACTTGACTCTACACTTGATACTTGACTCTACATGACTATCTCTGTTCAAGCTCATAGCACTTGAAACTGACTTACTTACTTGACTCTGTGCTATCTCTATACTTACTTACTGACTTACTTACTTACTACTTCTACTTATTTTCTTACTACTTACTACTTACTGACTTACTTACTTGACTCTACTTACTTACTGACTCTACTTACTTACTTACTTATGACTGACTCTCTATGCCTCTATGACTTACTCTCTACATCTCGGTATCTAAATCTCTCTTCTAAAGCCGGGGGGTGGCACCGTCGGCGTCCATCGGGAATGCAACCCTTCACAGGGATTCGCATCTTCGGGCGTTCAAACGCGAGGTAAAGTTACACATTTTAGGCGCGCGGGTGAACCCTTCACAGGGATTCGCCTCCCCGGGCGTTCAAACGCGAAGTAAAGTTACACATTTTAGGGTTCCGGCGCAACCCTTCACAGAGATTCGCCTCCTCGGGCGTTCAAACGCGAGGTAAAGTTACACATTTTAGGGTTCCGGCGCAACCCTTCACAGGGATTGGAACTCTCGGGCGTTCAAACGCGAGGTAAAGTTACACATTTTGCGGTGCCCGCGCAACCCTTCACAGGGATTCGCCTCCTCGGGCGTTCAAACGCGAGGTAAAGTTACACATTTTAGGGTTCCGGCGCAACCCTTCACAGGGATTCGCCTCCTCGGGCGTTGAAACGCGAGGTAAAGTTACACATTTTGCGCGCGCCGCGCAACCCTTCACAGGGTTTGGGCGCAGCTCAACTGCATTTTGCAACCCTTCACAGGGATTGGCATTTTGCAACCCTTCACAGAAATTGGCATGGTCGAGTGTTCGAACGCGAGGTAAAGTTGCATTTTTTATGTTCATTGAGCTGAATTTTGCAACCCTTCACAGGGATTGGCGTGGTCGAGTGTTCGAACGCGAGGTAAAGTTGCATTTTTTGATGTGCATTGAGCTGAATTTTGCAACCCTTCACAGGGATTGGCGAGGTGGAGTGTTCGAACGCGAGGTAAAGTTGCAATTTTTGATGAGCATTGAGCTGAATTTTGCAACCCCTCACAGGGATTGGCGTGGTCGAGTGTTCGAACGCGAGGTAAAGTTGCAATTTTTGATGAGCATTGAGATGAATTTTGCAACCGTTCACACAGACTGGCGTTGTCGAGTGTTCGAACGCGAGGTGAAGTTACACATTTTGCGGTGCCCGCGGAACCCTTCACAGGGATTGGCTTGGTCGAGCGTTGAAACGCTAGGTAAAGTTCCACATTTTAGGTGCCCCGCGCAATCCATGGGAGGGATTTGCCTCTTCGAGTGTTCTAAACGGTAGGTGTGCAACAGGTCAATTGGCAACCCTTCAGAGGGATTGGCAAATGCATATATCGATAATATACATATGTATATATATATATATATATCTATCTATCTATCTATAAATATATATATATAGATAGATAGATAGATAGATATATATATATATATATATAAATATTTATATTATATTATATTATATGATCTCGATTAAGCGTTCCCACACATAGAGCATAGAGTGAACTACATCGAGTCAAGTGCATGGTACATAGATGACTCCATGACTCTGTGACTTTATCTCACTATGACTCTATGACGCTATCTCACTGTAACTCTATGACTTTTTGACTCATGACTCATGCACTCTATGACTCTTGACTGTATGTGCCTCTCGAGGTCCAGGTCAGGCTATGAGCCCTCACGCTATGGGGATCTCGATTAAACGTTCCCACACATAGAGCATAGAGTGAACTACATCGAGTCAAGTGCATGGTACATAGATGACTCCATGACTCCGTGACTCTATCTCACTATGACTCTATGACGCTATCTCACTGCAACTCTACGACTTTATGACTCATGACTCATGGACTCTATGACTCTTGACTCTGTGACTTTACGATCCTATACACTGGATCTATCACATACATAGCCCCACAATCTTCGCTGATGATGCTTTCGGGCCAATTGTCTTCTAGTTTTTTTTACACGGGCAAGGTACATGTGTCCGCGCCGACTGTTTTTTCGGAACTACGAAGGGCGTTGATCACAGAATGACCAATAGAATGTTTGGACTTTCCGGCGCCGCACAGGCAGTTGAATCGCAGCGGCGTAGCAACGCCGTTTATGCTGTTATCTCCTTATTTGATGGAGCGTCCACAGCTGTTGGCATTGTGAAGTCTTGTCATTCCAACCCTCCATGTGCGCTTATTGCAGTTGAGAATGACCCAAGATTGAGACAATCGTCGCAGCAGCACGCAACTTTGATGAGCAAGAGGAATGGCGAACTTGGCACTACAGGCCCAAGAAGCGTTGACCACTTTGTTTGAGCCACTTTGTTTGCCTTAAGTGAGCTTGTATCTTCGAGAATAGGTTCTTTGCAGCAACTGTATTCAAGGCTTGATCGCCTAGTTGCAGACAGGACTGATGCCCCTTCGTTTCACAACAGCCGTCAGTCTGATCAAGCAACTGTTCTCCCCTTGACAACTTATCCCGCCATGGCCTCCTGGTCATCATGGTCTACCAGCGATTCTCAAGAACTTTGAATTGTGTGTTAGCCAAAGCGCCTGTAACAAATTCGGATGCCTCTGAAGAGCTTGCCAAAGCCAAAGCCAAAGTGGCTGAACATGGCATTGCAATGTCCCCTTTGAAGAGGTTGGCAACTGAAGATCCTGAGCCAGACTCAGAAAGAAGGGCAAAGCCCGCCATGCCTATTGCTGAGCCGGAGTCCCAAATGGAAGCAGAAAAGCTCCTTAAGGACCCTCAAAGATGACCATGTCACTGAATGGCTGGCCACTTATAAGAACAAGCCAGAGTTTAAAGGCAAGTACCAGCTCCTCGTCAAGCATGTACAAACAAGACAGAAGCCTCCAAAGACCAACTGGTCTCTGCTGCAAAAAATTTCGGACTGGATCCGAAGCTGGCATCCCGACTGTCGATTAAGAATTTGTCTACAGTGATTGCCGTTGCACAATTGCAAACTGTTTTGACTAGCAGTTTAATGCCAACATCTTGCTGCTTCCAGCAAACAGGGAATCAAGCAGCAAATTTGTATGTTGGGAGAGGCTGTGACGTTCTTTTTGCACCACTGTCCCGGCTTCAGTAAAGAGTCTGCACTGGTGGGCCCAAGGCTTGCTTCATCTGCTGTTGTTGTTTTACTTTCAATATGGTTCCCTCTCGTCTTATGCTGAGACTATTCGACAAAAGCTTCAGCACTTTCGGGTCCACACTGCCACCTACACGTGGCCACGATTTTCGAAGAGAGTCTAACAGATTCTCAGTTGCCAGGAAGCTGGCCGGCGGAGGTGAAGCTCAAGCCGAGCTAGC